GCTGTGCTGGCACCACCAACCATGACATCCCTCTACTCACTCACACCTCCTGTTATTCTCCGGCGAGGGTAGCCTCACACCGCGGCCGAACCAGCCAACCCTCGTACTCCCCACTTTGTGGGCATCCACTGTCATGTCTTCCCCGGCTTCGCGATGTTCCCTTCCTAGGCCTTGCCATTGTCCACCGCCTTGATGCTCTCATCGCGGTGTGGTCAATGTGGTCAATGGATGCATGCCTTCGGAAGATGACTGTACATGGTGACACTGACAGCTGGGACCCACCAGCCATATCTTCGCACCCAAGGAACTACCTCCTTATCCTTCCTGACAGCTGGGACCCACCCGGTCGAGGCATACATAGCGTTGTCTATCTGGTCGCGAACGTGTGCATACATACTAGTCGAACAGTCTCTCTGCAATGATGAACCGTGGCCGAGCAAGTAGCGGCACGTGTAGTAGTAGAGCTCCCGACGTAGTAGTTCAGACAGTCCCTTCTAAACAGTGTACACGTATGTACAGTCAGATGCCAAAAAATACGGCCACGTACGTACATACGGTCGGGGGTCTCGAACGTGTACTCTCACATACGTACAGCTAGGTCTCGTGTACATGGAGAGGCTACGGATGGCAGCAACGGCGTCTTGTCCATCGGAAGCCAACCAACTGGGTCAAAATGGAGAAACTGCATCGTGTTCATCGGGAGGCAACGGAATGCGTCATGTTCATCGGGAGCCAATCGGCTTGGACAGAACAGCCAAAATGGGGGTCTGGCGTACCGTAGAACGAAGGAAACGGTCTTCTGTTGGAGCGACTACGGTCGAAACGGGGTCCTATTGATTCGGAGGGGTGTGGCGTACTGCAAAATGGAGGAAACAGACTTGTGTTGGAGCACCTACAGTCGAAACAGGGTCATGTTCGTCAGGAGGGGTGTGGCGTACCGCAAAACGAGACTCCACGGGCTACTGTTCATCCACCGTCTACTGCCTCGCTCCAACCTCAATGGGCCACTGTTTATTCACCGTCGACTTCCTCCAGCCTCCACCTACTACTGTTCATCCACCATCGACTTCCTCCAACTACTGTTCATCCACGAGCTACTGTTCATCCAGCCTCCATCGGGTACTGTTCAACCAGCCCTCCACGGGGTCATGTTCATCCAGCCTCCATCGACTACTGTTCAACCAGCCCTCCACGGGGTCCTGTTCATCCACCACCAACTAGCTCGGGTGTGTGGTGGCCTCCTTGATCGGGGTCCTGTTCATCTAGCGGCAACGGCCTTTACAACCATGGGGTCCTGTTCATCCAACCCCCACCGCGAACTGTTCATCCAACCCCCAACAACGGTCACTGTTCATCAAGAGGCAGCAGGTTTGATCGGCTTCAGTTAGCAGCAGTAGTGAAGGAATCGCTCGGGTTCAGTTAACAGCCAAGGGATCGATCGCTCGGGTTTAGTAACATAGCTAGTGCAATCGCTCAGGTTTAGTAAGCGAACGCCTCGCTCAGGTTCAGTTAGAGCCCAACGCCTCGCACACACGCGCGCGTACATGTACGAGAGAAATATGCAAACTCCGTGCATCGCTCGGCCCCGACCATCCACCATAACCGGGAAACTCTCGATATTTTCCTCGCCCTCGCTTCTACCATGATTTTTTTCCGTCATGGACGGTCCAAAGAATGTCATGTAGGTGCATCCCCGGCCCGCCCTGGATGAAAAGCCCATTTTCTGTCATGATTTTTTCCATAGAAGTAGGAGCCCACAACATCAATGTTGATATGTCATTTTGTCACAATTATCGTCATAGAAGTGTCATAAGGATGACAGAAAAATTTCGTTTGGCACATAATGTCATGGATGTGTCTTTTTTTGTAGTGAATCGAGTTAGTTTTATTAGAGCTTGATCCCTAGTATCCACTATATTCTGAGATTGATGTTGCTACGACTTTACTATCCTTAATGCTTGTCATTAGGGCCCGAGTGCCATGATTTCATATCTGAATCCTATATTGTAAGTTGTATGCACCTATTACGTGTTATGATCTGCATACCCCAAGGTGACAATAATTGGGATCCTTTCGAGTGATTACCGTAGTTTGAGGAGTTCATGTATTCACTATGTGTTAAATGCTTTGTTTTGGTTCTTTATTAAAAGGAGGCCTTAATATCCCTTAGTTTCCTTATGGACCCACTGCCATGGGAGGGTAGGACAAAATATGTCATGCAAGTTCTTATCATAAGCACATATGATTATATACGGAATACATGCCTACATTACATTGATAAATTGGAGCTAGTTCTGTGTCACCCTAGGTTATAATTGGTACATGATGAATGTTATCCAACATAATTATCCATCACCGATCCAATACCTATGAGCTTTTCACATATTGATATTTGCTAAGTTACTACAGTTGTTGCTGATGTCACAATTACTACAAAACTACTGCTACCGTTAGGGTTACTGTTGCTAATGCTACTACCGCTATCTACTATCAAAATACTGTGCTACTGATCACTATGTTGCAGATATTTAGTTCTCCATGTGTGGTTGAATTGACAACTCAACTGCTAATACTTGCAAATATTCTCTGGCTCCCCTAGTGTCGAATCAATAAATTTGGGTTGAATACTCTACCCTCGAAAATTGTGGCGATCCCGATACTTGTGGGTTATCAACGTCACAGCTACTGGGCTGAAGTCGGACATCCGAATGACCATCTGGATCATCCGGGCATCAGCGGGATCATCCGAACCTCCTCCCGGATCGTTCGGCTACCGGATCTGAGAGCACCCGAAACTCCACCACGAAGCTGGATCATCCGGGAGTACATCTGTATCATCTGGAAGATGACCCGACCATCCGGGAGTACATCTGTATCATCTGGAAGATGACCCGACCATCCGGGAGCCCACCCGAATCATTCGACCCAGCATGTGTGCATGACAGGCCACTTGGCCTTGTATCCCCACCTAACTTACCCCTTCGCCTATAGCAATATATATAGACCTCCTCCTCCTCATTGCTAGGGATACCTAAGATTAGATCTCGTATCATAGAGCTTAGCTCATGTATCTCCCCTTGTGGGATTCCTCTTGATAGAGAAGACTCCATTGGAGTGCAAGGCTTCCTATGGAGAAGATCCCTAATGGATGCAAGACCTCCACATGTGGAGAAGGATTCCCCAAGGGAATCATCAAGACCCATCTCTCCTAGAGATTTGGATGAACTACCTTGTATCTTTATTTTCCATGTTGTTCTTGGATCTTGATGCATCACATGTATTGCTTGTGATTTGAGGAGTACATGGTGTGGATCTTGTTCAATGGAGTGTTTTCCCCTTTGATTTGTCTACGTTTTTCCCTTGTGATCTTCGTGTTCCTCCTCGAATCCACCTCCAATTCATGAACATCGGGCCACCTAGGGTTTTGCCCTACATCAGGAGGCCACCGAGAAGGAGTGGCTATATGTGCCAACTACATTGGCCTCGTCGTAGGCCTACGCCCGCTGAGAAGCCGCCGCAAAGCACGTCGCGGAGTGCGAGAAATGGCGGAGGAGGAGGCCAACTCCCACTGCACTGGGAAGCTGGTGCGCATCGGGAGTCTGTGGCCAGAAGCAGGAAAAGGGCCCTCAGGAAGGATTATTGAATTTGAGTTAATTTTTCTTTAAATTATATCATATTTTCCTATTGAATGTCATCACATCGTATATGTGTGTGATGAAATATATAAATATTATGTAATGAACTGGATTGCGTGGAGTATTATTTGATGATTTTCTATCTTATTTTCGTATTGGATGTCCCTTTTTTATGAGTCAAACTATCTTCTGAGGATATATTTATACTGACGTCAATCACGCACGTTTCGAAAACATTAACGGTAAGCGATTTTGGCTAAAAAAACACATGAGGCATTGTGATCTTTACAAAAGTACTCCTGAAAATAGTTGTTTGTGAAACTTCAAGCATCACACACAATTGCTTTCTAATAATTGTATGAACTGTATCGCATACGGAATAACTATTGCGATGTGTTGTTATCATCACACACAATTCCTCAACTCCATGCGTTTGCCAGGTTTAGCCCACGATCACTCAAAAATGACCGTGTGTAATAGATTAGTTCATCGCATACATTTCATTCTATCGCATACAATTTTATTTTTTGGTCGTGCGTGATGGACCTACAATTGCACACAATTATTTTTTGGGCAAATTGTTCTATTTTTGAAGTGTCTCTAATGCCACTTTCACACACAATTAGTGGTCGGATGCACTAGTGGCATCTACTCGCGTAGAAACAACTGTTGATATCAATCTCATCTATATCATTGTATTCACTCGTCCAAGGTATACCACCACCATGAATAATAAGAAGCAAACCTTTGAAACTTGTATGTGCGAAGCCCCGTCCCGATACTTCCAATCACATCCAACACCCTATTGAGAGATCTGACAGTTTTCCGAACCGTCTGACAGAGTTGAGTAGCTAGAGTGCCGACGCACATCGAGATCTAGTGCACCCACACACACACTAAGGGAACATGCATGTGCGCAGCGCATCCATGTGGAAGTGAGAGCGTCACCTGCAAGATTAGGGTTCCACCTCAGAGTGAAAATAGGGAGGGGCGTTCAACGATGTAGCAAGACACACGCTTAACACACATGAATGAAGACACGGCTAGATAATTAAGAAGCTAGCAATAAACTATTCATCATCACGCCACACCGCTAGTGGCATGTGATGATGTCAGCATGCTAAAGAAATGGAAAAATATCCCGTCTTGTAGTACATCCATCTAGTACAGAGTCCAAAGTTGGACCCTGTACACACACCGTTGACAGCTCACCTTACCCCGCACCACACCCGGGGTTATGTTATGTACACTGGCCTCCTCAACCTACATGAAACGCAGATGCTTTCCCCTTTGAACATTCTCCTCCTCCCATAATGTCGGCCGCGGTGCTGCGCAACTTCAAAAGAGAGGAGAAGGTATGAGAGGATGGTGACGTTCCTCCGGCCGCTCCCTCACGCCCATGGACCGACCGCCGTCAACGTTCGCCTCCGGAGAAGCCACCGCCTCCATTCGCCGTCGTCGTTGCTCCCCTGCCGCTGCGGCTGCCTCACGCCCATGGCGGAGGACCCCCCGCACCCCCACCAGCCAACAAAGGGGGACGACACTGTCCCGATCTCACAACAGCAACCAGAGCAGCAGCTGCCGCCAGCGCCACCTTCGCCGCCGCCCGACGTCCAGGAACCAAGTACGAGCAGTAGCAGCTGCGGCGACACCAGTTCCTGGCTGCAGCTCGGTACCGGACAGTCGGGTTCGTCGTCTTTGCGCGGGAAACGGACAAGAAACGACTATGAAGCTGGACCCTCGTCGTCCATACAACCAGACGCTTCGCCGCCGCTGTCAGAGCTAGGGCTGTCTCTGTTCCCAGCTGGTTATTCGTCGCCGTCGGTGGCGGCGGGTTCAGTGGTGGCGGCGGCGCCTCCTCCAGCGCACGAGGCCGGCACATGGTTCGTGCTCCAGGCGGCGCATAACCAGTGAGTACGCCACGTGCTGCGATCTTGTGCATTTGCCAATGTGGGTACTGGGTAGTTAGCTCATGTACTGGTTGCCGTTGATCCAATGCAGGAGAAGGGAGCCGCCATTGCCGCAGGTGCACAGGAGCTACTTGAGGGTTAGGTAGGTTAGCTCCTAAACTCGCCTTAATGTTTTTACTAATACAAATTATGCATGCATGGTCCATCCGATCTTTTAACTTGGATCGAAGTCATTAACGACAAATAAATGGATTAATGATGGATTCTTGGTTGGGTTAATTAGGAAAAATTATTGGTACATTTGACCCATTAGATATTGACTTCCTTTGGTGTATGCTATTGTTGCACGGCCAGTAGAGACGGGCGGATGACAGTTAGAGTAGTGATGGGGTACCTGGTTAGCAAGCTGGGTCTTGAGGACGATTCACAGGTATGCCATATAGCATCCGTCTCCTTTCCTTGTAATTTGTCTACACTCTTTCTTTGTGCTTAATTTCTATTTTATGTGTGCCCTTTAAGTGCAGAACAGTGATATTTTCATAGTTTCTACTCGGATTTTCGTTTGGATATGATTCACTGAAGTTTGCTTTATTAATTGAGCTGACTAGTCCCATGAGCTCCCAAACAAACGAAATGGTTCTAATCGTTCAGCCATTAAAGGATCCGAAAGAAACCATTTAGGCTTCCTTTGGTTTGTAGGAATTCCATAGGATTTTTATAGGACAGGATTTACAAAGGAAAATTTTCTTTGAAGCCCTTTGATTTGTAGTAATGGATTCCTATTCCTATGTAGGATAGGAATCAATCCTTCACATTTTGAAGAAAAAAAAACATTAGCTAAGACTCAATGAAAAAATTACTATCCTATGCATCAAATGACATCTTTTTTCTCTATAGAAATTGAGATGCATGTCATCTCACTTTCTATGATTTTCCTATTCCTATAACATTTCTATCCTATGAACTAAAGGAGGCCTTAGCCAAAACTAATACATATAACATACTCCTACATTAATTATTCAAGTACGAGTGTACCACATTCAAGTGACTGAAACAGGTGTCGGTGTACCCAAACAAGCCATCAAGAAAAAGAAATACCTCCCTGCACTGGATATTTTGTCTCTTTTTCGGTACTACTCCGTATTATATTTATATGGTGTGTAAAATAGAGAGAATGCTAGAGAAAAAGTTAGGAGGAAAGACTGGCAGGGGACGCTAGATAGTAGCTAGGGAAACCTAGCAGTGCATCCATGTCGCTACAGATCTAAATCTTGCATGTTATGATACTCCCTCCGGTCCTTTTTACTTCGCGTATTAAAATTGTATCAAGTCAAATTTTGTAAACTTTGACCAAATTTATATTAAAAAATATCAACATATACAATACCAAATATATATACTATGAATCTACATTTTATAATGAATCCAATAATATTAATTTAACGATATGAATGTTGATATTTTTTTCTAAAAATTTGGTTAAAGTAGAGATGCTTTGACTTTGGACAAAACTTATACGCAAGCTAAAAAGGACTGGAGGAAGTAGTTTAAAGTGGCAGCGCACAAATTGGTAGGTGAAAGGAGCTTTGGAGCTACGGACAGTAGTTTAGACGTCGGGATTCCCAAGGGTCTTTGTTGCTGTTGTAGGTGACGGGTGCCAGTCCATGCGTTACATCATGGCGCCACCCCATGATTAAGGTCTCTCTCTCTCGTGAATGCTTTTGTGACTGCTGGTAGATGCATGCGTGCTTATGGCTTATTAATATATATTTGGTGTACATGATCTCCTTAATTTAGTTGTGTCTACCCTGGACATGGACCTGAACAATAAGAAATGGCATCCCCTGCAAAAAAAAAAAAGAAAAAAAAGCGGCACCACCGCCATAACTAGGTGTGTATTTTAGAGGCCTTCCGTGGGAGGGAAAAACTTTGGAGTGGTTGCCAGGTGCCGTATTAGCGAGGCCAGTGCTAGGTGCCGGCGCACCGGCCCAATTTTTCGGCCGGTCAGCCTCTAGTCGTGTGATTGCCCTTTGTGAAACCGTTGGATGCAGCCTATATTCGTCTCCTTTCTTCCTCTTCACCCCGTTGGTCAACGTATGTCGCTCCTCTTCCTCTCCAGCTCATCTCCGCCCATCTCGCATGTGTCGTACAGCACGCCTAGCCCCCGTCGTTAGTTACAGCACTGTCGTGTGCCCTGTTGCCTCTCGCCGCTCGGCCGTCGATGATCGCAAGATGGATGCGGCGGGGCTCGATCTTCTGCTCTCTGCGATTACAGCTCTATCCCCGGTTTCGGCGACCCGCCGTGATTGCAGTACTCCCGACGACCATCCACATCTGGTTCGCCATTGCCGGCTTCCACCACCGGTGGTCAGCAAAAAAAAAAACTCACAACAAAAAAATGGTGTCTCTGGTCGTAACAAATCACAAACATGGTGCCAACAAAACACATCACGGGTTCCAGCAAAAAACCATGCCTCCGCCCTCCGCCACCAGCGATCCGCAAAAATACATCTCGACGATCCAGCAAAACAACTTACATGTTGTAGCAAAACAAAAAGGCGGTTGCAGCAAAAATGATTGTTCTTGCCGCCGCTGAAAAAATCATGTCTCCCCGCTGGCGGTCGCAACAAAAGTACATGTCGACGATCCAGCAAAATAACTTACCAGATGTAGCAAAAAAAAGGCGGTTGCAGCAAAATAACCGGGCTGGTCGTTCGCATCATGTGGATGTAGCTTTTTTGCCGACCGGTTCAAGCAAAAATCCACGCTGGTTGTAGCACCGGTCACCTCCGGTTGAAGCTTGTCGTTGAGCTCCACCTCGCTGCTTGTGGCAGCTAGTTGCATCGGTTCGCAACTCGCAAAATATTGGTTGTAGCTCGCCATAGGCATGATTGCTGCATACGCTTCGCCCCTGCTCGCCGCCATTGTAGCACTGTCGTCGTGGGTTGTACCACTCATCGCCGTGGTTGTAACACCTCCTTGCACGGCCGTGCAGGAGGAGAGCGGCGCTCGCCAGATCCGCAGGGGGGAGGGGGGTAGTGACGGCTGTTCGCCGGTGCAGCGCGGGGCAGGTTGAGGGCGGACGGCCGCTGGAGAAGCTCAAGTTTATTCTGATTTTGAGGGAAGACATGGCGCTGTGTGGCGTCGATTGAACGAAGAGACAGGGAAGAAGATGTGGCACGATTTGTGGGGCCTATAAGGGACGCGTGCGGTAGCAACCAGCGAGGGGCGTGGGCCATGTGGCATAGTGGAGTCGAGAGATCGCGAGACATCTAACGATACACGCGTGGCCGGCCGAAACTTCGGCCGGCATGCCGGCTCCAAACGTTTTCCTATTAGCAAAGATCTAGGGTTTATGTGTGTACTGTGAGTGGTGGTGAGTTTTAACTTCTCATCAATTTTGCCTAGAGCTGAATGACCCAAGAAGCCAATTGTGTGGAGTAAACTATTATTTAGATGATCCACCTAATCACTAAAATAACTTTTAATTTCAACTAATATGGTTATAACAAACTCTAGCTTGAACTCTATATATTTGTGTTGAGCTCCCTCTTTACCTTTCTGCGATTACAAGTTAGAGGCACACGTGCGCCACGCAGGCGCAAACCGACCACACACACTCATGATGCATAACTTCTTTTTGTGAGTGGACGGAATGCATGCCACACCTCATGCAGAAATTTAAATAGAAGGAAGTTTGTGAGGGGTATTGAGTTTACTTCAAGATATTACTGACCCAAAAAGAGGGTATGTCTCACCTAATTCGATGGAAGTAATGCATCATCCGGCCAGATCGCCACACTATACTTGTACTTGCGACATGCCTGCCTGGCCGGTAAAGTTTTCTTTTCTTTTCTACGTCAACTAGTATTTTTTTTAGAAATATGTGTGTAACTTTATTCAAACAGATAACCATTACAAATACAATGCTCTGGATCCAAGATCCAGGAAATTGCAAAGTAATTCCTAAAACTAAGAATAACAATAAAACATGTGGTAATAATTTTTAAAAGACAAAGTTATCCCAAGCCTTCAACAAAAACACCACAATTAAACCGGAGTAGCTACACTGCCACTTGTACACCTGCACGAATTTGATATTTGATAAAAGTTTCAGATAGGCCTTTGATTTGCCCATCCAAAGAGAAATGATGGACGGACTTCGGCCTGGATGGTCCCCTAGATCTGTAGGCTGTCGAAATGCAAGATCTTCACCATAATTCCAAGTAAAGAGTACTCTAGCTTCACAAAAGAAGTGAACCAGTAAAAGCACCCAAACCACATTGATAAAAACTCAACCGATCGGTCCTTTGTGGACACATGCCTAAACCCTGCAAGAGCGGTTGCACCGAACCCATAGCAAGAACATCGCTACAGCTCCATGCTCTCGCCCGAAAAAGCAACACGGCAGCAGGGGAAGAACCTGATAACCTTTATTTTCACTAACGTCACGTCCACCGCTCGCATGTTTTCATTAAGGCCACCAAACTCATCATAAGAATATTGCTAAAAGACACATACCAGCAACCGAGCTTCCCTTCGGCTCACAACTCCAAAACAGTGGTTGGGGCGAGGGGGTCTAGGTAGATTTAGCAATTGTTGGGCTTCTTTTCTCCTAGAAACCCTAATGGTCTCTAGAGCCAGCTCACTTTAGTCAGTCGTCCGAGTTGAGCTGACGTGCATCTAGGCTACAACAAGCAAATAAAAATAGTACCTCTATTTGGTCATTTTTGACCTTGTTGTTTGTACTCAATGTGTGTGGGTGTGTTTAGTTGAGATCATCATAGCCACGCAAAAATTCATGTGTGTATTTATTTGCCTATATCCCTTCATACGACATTATGAATTAATAAATCACCTTTCGTTGGAAGAAAAGACGATTAGGGCATCTCCAATCGGACTGGGTAAATTTAGCCCCCAACTTGTCACTAATAGGAAAAGGCTAATTAGTGGCGCATCTATTTTGGTCATTAATGGCGCATTATAGGTGGACCACTATTATCACGCCACTAGTAACAAATACTAATGGCGCGCTATAGGTGCGTCATTACTATTTGTGATAGTAATGGCGCACCGATAATGCGTCATTAGTATGCGTAGAAGTGCGTCATTACTATCTGACTTAGTAATTGTGCACCACATAGAAGTGCGCCATTACTAACAAATTTTTTCAAAAAAAAATCCAGAATTTTTTTCCTTTTTTTCTTAATCTTAGGTCACTATGGCTCCCGAGCACGCTTAACTTTGCAGTTCTATCCAACTCCAGCACCACCTCACTTAACATGCACTTGTTGATATATCTATCATATTAATCCTATTAAACCTTGTTGATGTCTAGGACTTTGTTCATGTTCATGAGTGTGATGAAATTTTAAAAAATATTTCAAACTTCCCGGTCATATTACGTATCATATTTTGGAAAAAAATTCG